CGTCACATTAATTGCGCCATTGTAAAAATTTTAAATAATTGCGTCACCAGTAAATCAATTTCTACCACATGTATAGTGATATCTATATTATATATATGATGAAATTGAATTCAACCATTTTTTAAAAACCGTATTATAGTAGAATTACTAAATAATATATAGTAAATAATTGGAATTCGTATTTAATTCGAAATTGTATTGGAATTCATATTTAATTCAAAATTGTATTGTCAATCAATTTCCTTTTATAGTAATACAACCACATATATGATCTATATTATACATGTAATAAAAATTGATAAATCCTTGATATAATTTAATATAATTATTTGATGCAATTAATTAAGTTACTATTAAAATATATAAAATAATTAAATCAAATATAATTATTTTTAAAAATTTTGACAATTGAGTCAATAGCAAAATAATTTATATTATACAATATATATAGTTTATATGACATAAGCAAGATAAAAAATTAAATAGATAAGTATGAGAACAAAAAAAGCTCTAATTATTAATAGTATAATATGAAAGAAAAAACAAACAAAAGGAAAAGAATAAAAAAAAGAGAACAGAAATAAAAACAAAATAAAAAAACAGAAAAAAAATAACAAAAATATAAACAAAATAAAGAAATAAAAAATAAAATCAAAAATAAATATAAATATAAATAAATAAAAATAAAATAAAATATAGAAACAAAATAAAGAAACAAAAAAAAAATAATAAAAATGAAAACAAAAATAAAGAAATAAAAGAAAAAAAATAAAAAATAGAAGAAATAATAAAGAAATAAATATTAAACAAAAATAAAGAAATAAAACAAAAATAAAAAATAAAAAAAAGTATCAAAAATAAAAATAAAAATAACAAAAATAACAAAAATAACAAAAATAGAAACAAAAATAAATTAATAAAATAATAAGAATAAGAATAAAAGAAAAATAACAAGAACAAAAATTAAAACAAAACAAATATAAAAAAATAAGAAAAAATAATACAAATAAGAATAAAAATAAAAAAATAAACAAAAATAAAAATATGAAAATAAAAAAAATAAAATAAAATAAGAAAATAAAAATAAAAAAATAAGAAAAAAAAAACAAAAATAAAAACAAAAATAAAGAAACAAAAAAAATAAAATAAAATAAAAACAAAAAAAAAAAAATAGAAATAAAGAAATAAAAACAAGAACAAAAATAGAGAAATAAAAAAATAAAAATAAAAATAAAAATAAAGAAACAGAAAAAATAAAAATAAAAATAAAGAAATAGAAGAAAAAAAACAGAAATAGAAACAAAAATAAAGAAATAAAAAAAAAGAAATAAAAATAAAAACAAAAGCAAAAAAACAAAGAAAGATAATAAGAATAAAAACAAAAATAAAGAAACAGGAGAAAACAAAAATCTTGTTATATAGAAAAGATATGAAAAATTTTTATTATAAAATTTTTTTTTAATTATTATATTTTACAATTTTTTTAAATTTAAATTTTATTATATTATATAAAAATAGTAATCATGGCTCTATTAAAATCTAACTATGGATTTTTATTTTCAGGAAATATAAAATGACTGACATTACTCTTAATTGTCTTCTCATTCCTAGTAGTTCATTTAATGCTCTTTTATATTATAGAATTAATCTGATAATTATAATTTCCAAAAATTCAACAATTGATGTGCTTCAAAATATCTCTCTTGATATTTAACAAATTTATTATCTCGGAAGTGTAAATGAAAGATGCATGTAATTACAAGCTTTGATTTCTAATTATTTTAATAGGAATCCTTCCAAAGATAAATATCATATCATTGCATATCCTATACCATTTTCACCAAATAATTGATTTTTTTCATGTAATAATGATATGTATTCGCAATTTTATTTTTTGTATCTGCCTTGCTAAGAGCAAGTTTTTCGTAAAATAAAGTAACTGTGCATCATACGTCTATCTCCAGATCGGTTCGTGTAACTTCCATCATATGTACAAGTGAAACTCGATAAGCCAAAGTCATGCTAAGCTGAAATTGTATTAAGCTGAAGTTTTTTTTGATTTCCCAAAATTTTATTATAGCTTAAGCCGAAATTAATTAATAAATTTGTATTAAACAATAAGCCGAAGATTTTTGGCTAATCAATTATAATAATTTGATCTCGATATACTGAAGTAATCATGTGAATTTCATTTGATTGGTTTATTCTTAAATCTTATGATCAAAAATCAGTTATACTACAAACATTTGTTTTGGAGAAAGTTTAAATAACTCTTTCATTCGGATCCATTGCATATCATTTGTAGTTAGATCTATCACGCCAGGGTTTATATCATTTCACCAGAGATGTTCTTTCCCCAGGACCGTTAGTATTATTAGATAGTTTTTACAAGAAGTACTCCTTAAAACGAAACAAAACAAAACATCATCCTAATTTGACAACAAATACGATTTGCTCAAAGTTGGGAAACAGGCAAAATCAAGTGTAAAAATTCTTCATAGAGATAATGGATAAATTACAAACAATGACAAAATAAATAAATATATATATATGTATATATATATATTTGCTGCATTTTTTGAATGTTAATGTATCAAGGAGAAGATACTATAGCTATTTACTTCTTTTTATTCTTCTCAGCGGGAGTCATTCATTTCCTTACAAGAAAAACACAATCACCCACCATGGTCTGGTAGCTGCACAACCTCAAGAATTTTCATAATCACAAAGTCTGGAGCATTCTCAAATTACACTGGACACACGTCTCGCCATGGATCCATGTATTTTAGAGTGTTACGAGAGCATCCATGATGGTTAGTGGTTGATTGCATATAAAATATATAATTTTTTTTCTTCTTTTTCTATTTCGATCTTGTAACTGTAATGGTGTGTGTGTCATTAAAAGTATGCCTTGTAAAACAATAAAGAAATTTATTATAAATGATATAATTATTTTTGTAAAAGGATTTATGAGGTGAACCAATTTTATTGATAGGATAGTATTTCTCTTTATCCACCCATCCAACTAAATCCTTCTCTCCATCCCAACAGATTCTTTTACAAGAGTGAGGTGAATGTGAATGAATTGAAATTGGATGGGGCACTCTGCATCGATCTCCTGAAGATCGCGAATTATTTTGGCATCAGCAAGGTAACCGGGAAATTATATCTTGAAGAACACTCAAATTATTAATGGAGTTTTCACAAGCGACAATGACAAGAGAATTCGTCATCACTTAATTCACAAGATCAATGATATCTGTTGAACTCCAAAGATTTGACCAATCTGTGTTTTTCTTCATTGCTGGATGACGAATATCTGTACATTAACCAGGATACTGCCTGGGACATATTGATAAGGTGGGGGTTCAACAGAGCCCAATCTTAGGACACGACATAGCCCATTGGACCCACCGGGAATAGATGCTATTGAGGGATGCTATGGAGGAAGTCATCTCACACATTTTTGGAATGGTTATTATGATAAGATTATCTTATTTAGCAAAATTATTCCTCAAAATATATATGATCCCATTCTTCAATACTATCTCAATAAGAATCTCCTAAAATAATTGACAAAAAATCATTTTCATTTAATTCTGATATCTATAACCTAGGGATGGTCATGTGTGAACTCACAATAGGATATTATCCCATACGGATGAAGCGAAATACTGTGACATATCATTTGGATGATTTATCCATAATAAATCATTTTCATGCTGATGTGATCCTGAAATGGATTAATTTTGGAAGTGAGAATCAAAAAATCCACCAGAAAGACGTATGGGCCTGAAATGAATTTTTACCTTCAGGAAATTCAATAAAGCCAAAGCAGCATTATTCACCTATCAATTTGACCTCCTATTTTGTATTATGGCTGAGGATACCGAAAAATTTTCAATGGAAGAATATACCAACACATTGGTCATAGTGAAAGTTCTTGACTCAAGGGCAGTTATAGATAGATTTGTGCCTAACAGATTGAACCAGAAGTCACTAACATTTCATGCCACGACAACCGATCAAAGTTTCTTGTTTAATTTCCAAAATGGCGAAAAGCTTGATAATTAGCTGGGCACGAAAAGTAAAGAGTATAAGTGATGAATACATACCTTACCTCTGGCTTGGATGTGATCGATCTGAAAAAGATGAAATGCCTCTTACAGATTTACACATATCAATTACATAATAATTTCAGGTTTTGATATATGCACTAGACACCAGTTTCAAATTGTCAGCGTTCAGTGCAATATTTTTCTTGTTGTTACATGTGATAATTTAATCTCATTAAAATTATATAATGGTACACATATTTCACAGATAATATTTATTTATTAATATTTCAGGATAAATGATTGTGGAGAAAGTTTAACAAGTGGTTCTTCAAATGTTATGTCATTTTTAACCGATTCAAAAAACAAAACAGTAAAGAAAAAAGTAAACCGAAAGATGCTAACTGGCCTTGAAAAACAAACTCTTTGTATTAAAGTGCAAAAATATCCTAATATTATGTTAGAGGTATTAGCAATCGAGTTTGGAATAAAATCCAATACTGTTTATAATATTTTTGCAGAAAAAGATATTTGGTTAGCTTTAGATAAAAATTCATCACTTGTTAATTCTAAGTGCCATAAGACTGTAGGGTTTCCTACCATTGAATCAGCATTTGCTTTATGGATTGAACATGCTATATATCATGAACAAGCTTTTACTGGTGAAATATTAAAAGTTAAAGCACAAGAATTTGTGAACAAGATGAACATTAATGATTTCAAAGCTTCTCCTAGGTGGATTACAAACTTCAAAAAACATCACAATATAAGTCAATTTATTTGTCAAGGTGAAGCTAACTCTGCACCTTTGGAAAACTTGTTACATTTCTGCAATGAATTACAACAACTTATTCAATTATATCCAATTGAAAATATTTTCAATTGCGACGAAACTGTACTTTTTTATCATTTAAATCCTATTAAAACATTAGCACATGGTCCTGTAACAGGACAAAAGAAAGCAAAAGACCATATTATATTAATGTTTACAGTAAGTGCTATAGAAGAAAAATTGAAACCTTTGTTAATACATAAATATAAAAATCTATGACCACTCAACAGAATTAACAAAGATATTTTACTAGTTCATTACTATTGGAACTTGACCTCATGGATACAGATTTCAATTTTCAAATACTGGCTTTGTAAACTTGACGAAGTTATATGCAAATCATGCCAAAATATTCTATTGTTTATAGATAATGCTTCCTCATATAAGATCAATGATAATACCACATTTTTAAACATTACGGTATATTTTTTACCTCCTAATTGTATGGCACATCTTCAGTCATGTGATGATGAAATCATTTATAGTTTCAAAAGTCAATATCGAAAATATTATTGCATTGATCGAATTCAAAAGTATGATAATACTATTGCTCAGAACCAATCCATTTCAAATATTCCTCAAACTAATATTCGTGAAGCAATCGAATTTGTTAAAATTGTATGGAACCAAGTAAATACCAAGACAATAACACATGCATGGCAAAAAATGGATATTATACCTAATAATATAACTGTTGAAAATGAAGATCTTGTTTTATCAACAAATATGGAACTAATTAAACTTGTTAATCGATTTCCTATTAATCATGAAGAAGTTAGAATGGAAGCATCCGAGTTTATTAATTCAGAAGATTTTATTTCTATACAGGATATGCCAACAACAGAGTCTATTATTGCAACAATAAAAGAAAAAGACTTGTTAGAATCGGAAGACTCTTCAATAATTAAATCTATTTTTCATAAATTAGCTCTTGAGCATATTAATTCTTTACTTCTATATATTACTCAAGATAGTGATAGTGAGCTTCAAGTTGATACTACCTTCTTATCTAATTTAAAAAAGTTAAAAAGAACGATTGAGACTAAATAACAAAATATGTTACAGCAAATGAGTATTCTTACATTTTATCATTAATAAAGTTTATATATACGTAATATTTTTTAATAATAAATCGAAATTTGTGTAACTATATATATAAAATTTGATAAAACGAAAATCTCGATAAGCCGAATAAATTGTCACTTCCCGCAACCTTCGGCTTATCGAGTTTCACTTGTATATAAACAACCAATTATCCAAAAACAGATACGATAAAATTTTTCACTTGCATCGCATCACCTAACGGGATCATATCTAGCATCTACTGTATATAAAAATACCACCATGTCTTCACATGCTTCTTCACCTTCTTCACCGGCTTCTACATCCTCTACTCTGACGAAAGAAAGGTCAACTCGCACGATGGTGGACGTGGTCAAAAATTATAAGACAGAAGAACTTATCGATTATCTACAGAGGCAGATTTCAAGATCCTACGTAATGAAAGGATTTCCGGCTGTGACTTTCTTAACATATCTAAAGAGGAGTTTCGCATTTATGGATTAAAAGCTGGTCCAGCAAAAAGACTTGCAGATTTTATCGATGAGATATCAGAACAAAAACT